TATATTGTTATCTCCTTAAACCTGTATTGCTTCCAGTTTTGATACACTGTCCTGAACCTTTGAAGATTGGGATGTAAAGTTATCTGGGTTCACACCGTGTAGTGACCAATGCCCCGTGGATCAAGGGATAAATTGTCGTGTGAGTTAGTGGTCTTCAAAGGTTGTTATTGCCAACAATGTAGAAAAAAATCAAATGTTTTGACAAAATTGAATTTCGTTTTGTTCTTCTGAGATTGCTAAAATAAATCACCAAGCATATCCTTTTATATTTTGAGAATCTACATTAATTTCACCATCTTCCCGCGCCAACGGCGGTAATTGACCAGTTGGGACTTTTATAGTCTGTTGACGTCCTTGCCTCGCGAAGATGTAATTTCACTTGACTCAAATGTGTTCTATGTTATATATAGAAAGCCTTTCCTTGATAATATCAAGAATAATCCGTGAGATAGGGATTTGGTTGTACATTTGCTGGACCCTGCGGTGTCCCTCTTTGAACTAACTTTATAGACCTTTGGAATCCAGTACAAAAGAGGAATGGACATGTCTTCAGGTTTTAGAGTCAAGTCAAAAGTTGATTGTACTGATGCGTGGTTGGCAGATATTTTCCTTAAAAAAGACTTTTTCCAGGCCTTAAATGTGTCATTTCATGTGTTAGTAATACCAAGTTCTTTGATCAAACAAATAATGCGATCATGCCTACATGGTTATGTTATTTGAGTCCTTGTCTGTAGGAACAACAACATGTTTCATGTAGGCAGCAAGACGTTGGATAACAGCTGGCTGGAACAGAATAGGTTTATTCCCATTTCTTCGACAGTTTCTATAATGATTTTGAAGTTGTGATTCCAATTGGTCGGAGGCTGCTCGCGATATTTTGGTCAACATCTGAATAACTGTCAAAGGTTGTTATTGTCAACAATATAGCGAAGCCACCTGTTATTATATGAGTTACGGGGGGGGGGGGGGGGGGGGGGGGGGGGGGGAAGCAGTATGACGAGACACAAGTCGAAGACAACACGTGTCATTATAATTGTCTTCGGTTTCTGTATTCCAGTAAGTGAGAATGTCACTTTGTAAACTTTGTTTCGACAAAACATGAGACAGAAAACGAATAATTGCATGTCTATCTTATGAGGAAATATATAGTAAGCTATGGCTGACAGTGTCCAGGTGTATACATAATTGCACCTAACCATGTCTATTGATTAATTGTAAGATATTGTAAGTGTTCCAGCCCCGCACTCTTGTCTCAATAAGTTCACTTCTAATAAAAATCTGTTGAAAGATCATGCTGATCACGTTTTGACCCCAATCAGTCTCTGACATGTAAAAACTTTATTATAGAAAGAGGCCCGTAGAATCTCTTCATCTTCTCCTGAAACAGAAAACATCTTGACTTGCAAAACTATAGGCATGCTTGTTTTTTTCCAGGTATTTTTTCCTGCAGGCGAGACTTCCAACTGGCCCCTAGCTTCCTTTATCGTGGAGATGTTTTCAAAAGTGACATTATGGGAGGGCCGTTTTATTAATCAGATGGTAGAGGCTTCTCTTTACTTCCATTATTCATTGAGAGGTGTGACAGAATGTTACCACGCGATCCCGTTAGTCGATTTCTAGTATACCATAGCACTATATGAATAACTGTGTACATATGGCACGTTTTGATCACTGTGGATTATTCCCTGGCGTTGACGTTGTATACCATACCACTATATGAATAACTGTGTACATATGGCACGTTTTGATCACTGTGGATGATTAAAAATATGGTCAGTTTGGCCAGAAAATGGGTCGTTTTGACCAAATCAGCAGGAATACGTTTCGGTCACCGGATGACTTAAACAGGGACCGTTATGACCTGAAATTTACCTTGACCTACTCCTTCCTGGAACTGCTGTTGAACGCGCGTTTGATGAAGGTCCTTATGAAAATCATTTCAAACCAATCGTTTCACAAACAATCGAACGCCTGGCTCCACATCTGGTGCTAATACTGCCCCAGTTGACACCACTGGACAGCCGACCTGGCTGTGTGGGTCATAAACATTATTACTAAATATTAATGCATAACATGAAATAAAGATAATTCGACTTACATATATATTACACATTACATTACTATACCTGCATATCACCATACCCATGGAGATTCGAGTGAGAATTGGTGCCCAGCAACCTATGTTTGTTGTAAGAGAAGACTAACGGGATCGGGTGGTCAGGCTCGGTTACTTGGTTGAATGCATGGGATTGGATCGATGCTCATGATGTTGTTCACTCCATTATTTACAGACCGTCGCCATACAGCTGGAATATTGCGGCGTAGCATTAAATAAAAAACAAACATACATATATACTCAACAACAAAAGTTCCTGTGACAACAATATTTTAGTGTATATTTCAAACAAGTAAAGTTTGGTTTTCAATATTGTAGTACATGTATGGAATCAAGTCACAAAAACGCAACTGCAACAGAAAAGCATGTATGCAAAAGGTGATTTTTATGCAAGCCCAATGTATTTCACTACCCAAGAATGGGTATAAAAACATGTGCGTTAACGGGATTCCATATGCATTGTTTAGCTTCGTGCTGACAACAACCACTCAGAAAAACAACAAAATTACGCAATTATTCAACATTACGAAATGCCAGGCCTGTCCGAAAATGAGCATCTGCGAGCCATTGGTATGCTTGAAGCAGGATCGAGTCAACGTGATGTTGCAAGACAATTTAACGTCCACAGAAACACCAATCGGTATTTATGGCAACGTTGGCAACAGACGAATGCAGTCAGAGACCGTCCTCGGAGTGGCAGGCAACGCGCAACCAACAAGCATGAAATACTCACATCCCCCGCCAATATGACATGTCCGGTTGTGTGCAATGCATTAGCTCCTGTGAACTATACGTTCACCACTAGATCTATCTATGTGCCAAGTTTGGTGAAGAGATATGGTAAAGTTTTCAAGATCTGCTCCGGAAACGTGGACTACCGCCATTTTCAGTCTAAATCAAAGTCGTTGCCATGGAAACTCAAAATTTTATTTTTTTTAATCCGAAACTATCAAAAGGCACCAGTTCACCACTAGACCTATCTATGTGCCAAGTTTGGTGAAGACATATGGTACGGTTTTCAAGATCTGCTCCGGAAACGAAATGGGACGGACGGCCGGACGGCACCCATTCCTATATCCCCCTTCCACTTCGTGGCGGGGATAATAATCGACAAGATTACAAAACTACAAGAAAAATCCCTGGCCTTCGACGAATATCTTCACAAACCGTACGTCGTCACCTCAGATGTGCAGGGATTGTCGCCAGAAGACCCGCCAGACGTCCCATTTTGACAGGAAACCACCGTGAAGCACGTCTACAGTGGTGCAGACAGTGTCTACGCAGTGGGGACAAGTTCTATTCACTGACGAGTCTCGTTTTCACCTCAGCCACAGCGATGGACGGATTCGAGTGTACCGACGTCGAAGTGAACGTTACGTCAATCGTTTCATGGAAGACGATCGGTTCTGGGGCGGCAGCGTTATGGTATGGGGTGGGATTACTGCAAGACAGAGGACCCGTTTGATAGTGGTAGAGGGAAATCTCAATGGACAGCGCTACCGCGACAAGATCGGCCCTGTTCTACCGTTTTTGCGTCGTCATGGCCCAGGCATTACCTTTCAACATGACAATGCCTGGCCTAATATTGCTCGACTTGTTCAGGATTCTCTTCAACAAAACAACATGACTGTCATCCCCTAGCCGGCTCCAGGAACTTCGAAACATGCTCCAGCAGATATGGACAGATATCCCACCGGACTCTGTGCGACGCCTGTTCCATTCCATGAGACGAAGATGTGTTGCATCACAACCAGAGGTGGACTCACACGTTCTTGATTTGTAAACTGACATTTTGGCATGTTCATGTTTTTTATGAAATCACGCATTTTGTGAAGTCAGTATGGCAAATTAAACCATTCGGACACTTACAGGAGTCTTTCATCTGTTCAAACTGAAATTGTTTCAGATTTTGTAAAAAAAACATAACTTTGCATTAAATCTTATTCAATGTCACAGGAACTTTTGTTGTTCAGTATATTACTACTAGCTCTTATTAGGTCTGTTATTAAGTTTACATCAATCTAATAACACATGCTTTTGTTTGTTTGTTTGTTGTTTAAGGTCGCACTCAGCAATATTCCAGGCATATGACAGCGACTGTAAATAATCGAGTCTGGACCAGAAAAATCCAGTGATTGACATGAGCATCGATCTATGCAAGTGGGATACGATAACATGCATCAACCAAGTCAGCGAGCCTGACCACCCGATCCCATTTGTCTTCTCTTACAACTAGCAAAGTCGCTCATTAAAGCAAGCATAGGTTGCTGAAGACCAATTCTAACCAAGATCTTCATGGGTCTAGCACATGCATGGGGTTGGGAAAGACATATACTCAATCAATTTAAGTGCTTTGTTTGCCCAAGGGACGCAACTCTACACGGCAAATTGCGGCGCCTCAGACGACTGGAACACCCTAAAGGAGGAAGAAAGTAACTTTGGCTAAATCCAAACATGGGTATGGTGCCAGCAAACCAAGTATCATTATCAGGGGTAGTCTTGGATTTTGAGCCCTAAAGGACCCTCCACCGGAATTGTTGCACACTTCCATCAATAAGAGTGAGTGAGTGAGTGTGTGAGTGAGTGAGTGAGTATGGTTTTACGCCGCTTTTAGCAATATTCCAGCAATATCACGGCGGGGGACACCAGAAATGGGCTTCACACATTGTACCCATGTCAGGAATCGAACCCGGGTCTTCAGCATGACGAGCGAACGCTTTAACCAATAGGCTACCCGACCGCCCCTCCATCAATAAGAAGTTATGTTACTTCATGTCATATTTTCACACAAACCACGTTATGATTTAGAACGTATGAATCTTCACAAAAATCACCACCCTTTCAAAATTCCATATATAGTTTCTATCAATGAAGAAGAGCAAGAAAATGTAGAAGAAAGTTTATTCAGCAGATCCTCTCTAGTAATGAACATCTAACAAACAATGTGTGATAAATTGAAGTGGAAAAAAATATTGCAGTAGTTGACACAACCAAATACAAGTAACAACCAATTGCAAACCAGGTTGGGAAAGAACTGAATCTATTTCTCCAGAGATTCAACTCTACATTGGGCTGCCATCTGCACAAAACAGAATACATGACACAGGCATCAGTAGCCTAGCTACATCATCGGATGAATGGTGACCCTAGGATTGTCCTTTCAAACACCTTAGCAAGGTAAAGGATTATTATCACTGAATCATATTTTGGAGTTTTAATCCAGCTCTTTCATGCCAATGTATCAGTGGACTAAAGCTTCAGGTAAACAAAGGATGAACTGTTCAAAACATAATATAAGGGCATCACAAACAATTCCTCAAATCATATTGCAAGTTTTCAAGCAAATTATATCTCTGTTTGGGAAGCTAAAACTAATTGTGCGTTTTGTTCTCTTTGAGAGAAAAAGATAATAATATCAAATCCATTCCACCGATACTACTATATTTTATATGTGAGTAAATTTATAGTTTGAATACTTTAATTAATAGAAGCAGCATGAAGCTTAGCGACCAATCATTCAAGATTTTCTGCAAATATTTATTTTGTTCAATAATATCCCAGCTCCCAAAGTGGTCAGTCCCTTAACACAAAATATCAGCACCAAATTGCACTCAACGAGCGCTGTTCACCTTTGTCAAGCCATAAGAAGCCAAGTGGTTTGAGTTTCACTTAAGCCCATGAGAAATCATTCTTTTTTTTTTATTAAATCATTTCCCTATGTGTCCAATAATTTAGTTTTTTTTGTGTTCCAGAGAGTTGGTGTAATTAAGAAAATGTTTCTTCTGTAAATAAACATGTTAATCCACAAACAAATTGCAGTCACCATTGCTTGTGTGGCTGTATGGCAACGACTGCCCATGTGTGGCTGTGTCACCTTCCTGATGCAAGGACTACCAACACAACACATGGTTACACAGCTCTGTATGGAAAGAAAACAAAACATCGAGACACATTAACATGCAGCTATGTACACTTCATTCTCTATCATCATAATACTTTAGATATTTGTATGTGGGTTGTATTGTGAACGTAAAATATATAAAAAAGGAAATTAAATTGATTTGATGCAAGTTTAAAGGGTTATATAACCTGCATATGATTTCTATCATACACACTGATAATTGTAGTGACAATATTCTGGGATCTAAACACTGACTAATAAGGGACTAATATTTCACCTTGGTGTAAGATATAGGGTACATCAAATGGTTAAAACTGACCTCTGATAACAGTTCTTATTGTCTTTTGTAAAAATCTATCATTGCCTTATCAACATAAACTGAATGTTCTTTGAAAACTTATTTTGCCACTGTTATAGCTTCAGGAAAATACATAAGCTGACCTTTTCATTTGTCAATGTCAGAAAGTTGACAAACAACTTGGTATCTTTTGTGGATAATGTAGAAATAAATGACAACCATTACTCCTTAAAAAATCTAGCTATCTGATTGGTCAGTCACCGTCTTGTTCAGAACAATATACCATGGCTGGCCGGTCTGTACAGATATCCCAATGACATAATGTTACGTCCCTTGCTTGTGACAGTTGACCCTGTTTGTGCTTCGAGTCACCATGCCGAAAGTCTGAGGCTAAGATAGATTTAATTATCACACACAAAGATTTTACCGAAAGAAAGTCTTGTAACTCATGAATTCAAAATGATAAATGTTATATGTCACAATCACTAGCGTGAAGGACAGGAGTTTTACAAGCCAAACAATCGTGTACAGCCCTCAACCTATGGTTTTGTGGCGTGCAAGCCGAGTCAGCTCGTAAAGTCCTGTACACCCACAAGTGACACATGCACGACATAACACATGGTCTGTACATACATAGTTAAACATGCCAACATTCAAACCAAGGCTTTCATTGAGCAAATCCTTCTGAAACCATCGTAAGTTGTTCTAGAAAACTACAACTTACAATTCCGCCATATGTAGCAGTGACTTTTGATTCTCTCATCTGAGTTGTAACAAACAAGACTCCAGTAATCAGTTGTGACCATAGCAACAAAAGTCTGCCCTAAACAACAGTAACAGGAAGTCATAGACTATCAACCAACAGTAAACAATTGTCTCTCTTGTGCCCTAAGCTTGTCACCAAACATAACATTAACTAGAAAGTAGGAACTCATGGTAACACAATGATATCTTTAGAAACAGTTGTGACATTATTGTAAGAGTGGTGGTGGTAACGATGTTGACACACGCTTCCTCCAGTACAGCCGTGTTCTACACTGTCACTCCATGCTTCAACTGGCCTGAGGCTGCAATTTCATAAACATCAAATCCTAGTGCTTGCTAAAATCTGATGCCTTGAGCTGTGTCCAACCAGACACTTGCAGTCAGCATGTCATGCTGGGGACATAGGTTTTCTTAAAAATGTAAAAAAACACAAAATTCTCTATCTCTTGAATTCGGTTCTATCTTTTTTTGTTTGCAGTTACCAAAAAAAATGAGAACAAAAATTGTTAAAAACATTAAGTAATATCATGATAGATTTCCACAAAAAGTGGATGTTTGCAAACTGCATTCTATGTGTATGACAAGAGCCTTTGCATAATAATGAGGAACACTGCACCCCTCGTAATGAGCTGTCAAAAACGTGGTTCACTTCTTGTGAAGTCTTGGTTGGAGCAGGTAGAGGACAAGACATGAAACTGAATGTTTGATTAAGGTTACAAGACACTTACTTACAGCTTGTGTTTCCATAAACAGTAGGTAATGTTCAAATACAGCATTCAAAATCATTGTATGCACGTTCTATACAAAAGAAAATATGATCTACATGTTCATCCACATAAAAACTCCTCATCTTTTAAGTGGATGCTGGACAAGTAAGTTACACTACATCAGGTCATAGGGCAACATAGAAATACAAGGGTAATTAGCTGGAAAGATTTTGTTACCACTACCCATGCCTAGTATAGATCAATGATTGTTAATCGTTATGCAATGATACAGGACGTATCATGATACCTGACCACAAGCTGCTTTGTACCTGGAAACTACAAGCCCTACACCCTGAACAAGTACCTTGCAAACAATGGCATAATCCATCAAACTGTGTGTCAACTAAAATAGAATTTAGGTTATCAGATGGTCTATATTTCGAAAGAATAACAGTAGGCCACAATAAATATTTTTTGATTAGATATATTTTTTTTTAAACCAATTGTTTAGATCATCCGTACACTAATTGTGGATGGATTTATTCACATGATTGTTGGTAAGACCAAATATGGTAAAGTCAACGAAGATGAGAACCGTTATTTCTTTGTCTGTAGGAACTTGGGGAGTTTTGGAAGTGATGCGGACTGGGGTGAAAGTCTAACCATTTTTATTCATTATGGATTTTGCTAGCGCCCCTCATGGTTTATTCTCCCTGCAGTGTTTTATTGTACAATAAACAACTTCCACTCGTCATTAATTTATTTATGAGATATCCATTTTACTAACAGAGGGGTTAAGTTTGGTATTTCCTTTCCTGCATATTCTCACGTCGATCGTCTGTACCTTTTTTCCTTATACCGATTGTCATATCTCTCCCATTGTTCGTTTTTCATTGTTCTTGGATTTATCCCGTAGCTATCTTAAAAATGCAGACAATACAAAGGTGTGTGAAAAGGTTGCTAGCTAGCTGTTTCACAAATATTTATCATTACATTTCACCATAAGCACAACCTTGCATCGTCAGCTGAGTCAGGTATCATGATACATCACTGAGTCATTCCAAGCTAGTAAACAGTAACACAAATAACTGCATAATAAACAGATGTAGCACTATATAAAGGTCCCCTTAAGACACATGTCAGGATGAATTGGTGTTGACACAGGGGAAACCACTCCTGAACCCTATCACAGACATTGAAGTAGTCATAAACCATCTCCACCACACTGCGACATCGTCAGTTCAAAATACTGAGCCAAATAACTGTAGCTCACCTGGATCTTTCATGGTTGGAGACCAGCCTTACCACTTCCTCATAGATACATGGCTTATAAAAAACAGCGAACAAGTTCTAAGTAACTGAACCAAAAGATGACTAAAAGAGAATCAAAAGCAGAAACATGTTTGATTCAGTGTTTGATGATTATTAGAATAGCTAAATAATACATTGATTTTTTCTTCATGTACAGCATACTCTAGCCCGAACCTAATCCTGAGCTTAATCATAAGAAGCTTCAGGGTAGGTTAAAATGGACGTGGGGTGACAGATAACAGACATGACATTACATCACTTTAACCATACCCTTTGGGTCAGGACAGCTAAAAAGGTCAGGACACATCACCAACCACTGAACTTTCCTGACATTATTGACAAGTGGACTGGTTGTGCCTGCTCACAACTGCGTACTGAGGTAAGTGGTTGGAGTTGAGAGTTTCTTTCAATTAAACAATGATTGGAGTTACTGCCCTTTACCTACAACTCTATTTAAATAACGTCATTACTACCTTGACATGGTTGTCATTGAATGAGATAATCACAGCTTAATTTAATGACAGATTATCACTGTGTTAAGTTGACATATTTGTGATGATTTCTATCGTTTATGGCAATGTTACTTTTCAAAACATGAGTGCTAAAGGGGGGTAACTCTATGACAACAATGTACAATATTTTCCCTTATGAACAATATGAACATCAGTCTTGTATATCAGGGTGTGTGTTTGCAAGATAGACCAGAGATGCTGTCATGGACTGACACATAGTTTAGAAAGTTTGTGGTACAGTCTTCGGACCAAGTGACGAAGAGGTTTTGAAACTTTCCCAACAACTGAAGTCACAACCTCCCGAGACTAGAGCGCATTGACGGGTCTTCCTTGTACACAATATTTAGGTAAATCCTGAAGTATTAAATACTCATATCAAAGTGTACCCATATTACATAACTCATTACCATCTTATTGGCATACATTGGATTAATGATTGGAAATCAAAATAAGGAGTTCATTACTAATCTTGCAACTTCAGAGTAAAGTTATTTCGTATCAGTCGGTGAGCACTGTTTTAGAATGTTGTTAGCAATGTTCCAGGCAATATCATGGCAGGGGAACCAGAAACGAGCTTCACACATTGTATCCAAGTGGGGAATAGAACCCAGGCCTTCACAAGCAAACGTATAAACCACTACGCTACGCCCCTGTCTCATGTCCTCTTGAAGACAGTTGGCCATGTGACAGGACATGACATCATCCTCTGGTCAATGTGCGAACAACAAACCCAGGTGGACTACGATTACAGGTGGTTCAGGTGAAGAATATCTCTATCAGGAAATATTCAATATAAACAACATTTGGATACATAATCACAAAGTACTGATGACTATACAGCTGACTACGTTACATCGGAGTATATCAGAGATCAACATGGATCAACAACGGGGTGGTAAGGAATGCTTATACGCAACTACATGTACGTCATCATAAAACAACCAGGCGCCATCGATCAAACACATCCTGCAGACTGTGTAGAAATTTACCTGATACATGTTAACTTATCTTCACCTTCACTTAGCTGTGGTAACCCTACTTCTGTCAATGACAAGTCAATATGAAAATCATTTATAAAGCGCAGCACAGAGATCAGGTTACCACAGATATGCTATTAGATTGATGCATGTTCAACATACACAAAATCAATACAAAGAATAAATATGGAAGAGAATTTATGGATGACAACTTCTTTATTATGAGGAACACACATTTCGGAGTACATGCTTACTCCTTCATCGGGTGAATACGTGAATACGTGAATAAACGTTGTGTTCCTTATAATAAAGTGTATCACTTCTAAATGGCTTTCAGACTTGAAAGAATAAATAGTTGAACTTGACTATAACCATATCTAAATCACTGAAAAAGCAAATAATTACCTTGGACTACAGAGAGTATAAATATTGGGCATTAGGTTATGTAATGTGTATATCACTTTGTTTAAATTAACAAGAAAATGACAAAACAGTGAACACACAAAATGCAGATTCCTCCTCCCTCGAAGCAAACAGTGAAGTGACATTTCTCCACAAAAAGCAGCAAGCATCATTTGAGCCATGAAAAAACAAAATCAGTATAAAAGAATATAAAGTGATGAGACATGAGGTTGAAACAATGATTTGTTGGACCACTAATCATCTAAAATATAACATCAGTACTGGTCTACACTGATCCAATTGAACACGGATTTCAGTAGGAAAATAAATCTCTGTCATTGGTTTCAGACTGGAGCAATCATGAATCATAAACATTAAACTGCATCCCTTGGCTCTGTCGAAAGCACCACTGTAAGAGCTTCCAAATATCTTCATCATGACATTCAACAGAATTACAACATGTTTAAAGACAGTTTTTATAAATCCAACAAAATGTATATATATTTCTAACAGGGTAATGACAATTTTTACAATTTAAATGAAGTAATATCAATGAAAAATCACATCCCTTTGTCTTGAAATCACAAGTGACTTGAGCTTTCAATCATAGCCATCAATAAGGCTGAAAAAATAGGTTTGGTTCCCAGGCAAATCCACATCTGTAAAATTGCTCTTGTAAAAAAGCATTCTAATCTGACAATGCGTGACAACTGCATGGGTAGATACCTTGTTCACACTTCAAAAAACAGTCTTTCTTCTGCATCAAGCTTTCATTTCCTGAGAACCAATGGTTGAATTTTTTTAGCCAAACATTCCACAAATGTACAAAACTCATAAATCAATGATGATTTCTTTTATACAAGTAGAAATGTGGGGTGATCTTAAGAAATGAGTACTTAAATATTTTCCCAAATGACTTGGTAAAAAGACACAATCAGGATATGTGCTAAGACACAAGTAATGGTTTTGTTTTCTTCCTTAACTCAAGACACAGAAGTGTCTGACATATGCATATTTGAACTAAATAAATAAAATAATATGTATATCGTGTATATATAGATGTATGTATACAGATGTACACAATGGAAGGATGAAACGTGTTGGGGGTGGGGGACAGGATACCCAAACATGGCCGACATTCTCAGCTGACGATAATCCTATGTATAAAACTTTGTTTCAATTGATGATTAAAATTGGTTTATTAACACAACAATCCTATGTATAAAACTTTGATTGATAAATTTACTAAATTAAAACTTATTCTTTGAGAGAAAAACATTTTCTCTATGCAATATTAAATACTTTTTAGTCTGATATCTTAAAAAAATATACCAACTGCAGAAAACAGAGGATGACTAAATGATTGAGAATAGAGCAAAACACACAAAATTAGCATCATGATTAAAAATGCTCGGATTAAGATTTGATTAAAAATATTAAAAATATCTAAAATGTAAAAATATCAAATCTTCTCTCACAGCTAACCTGGATAAGAAGAACCTATGGCAGTAGCACTGCAGAAAAATTATCTGTACTCATTAAGCGAGTAGCGTTTGGTTGCCACGGTGATGGCGTGAATCGCGTGAGTTCTGAGCTCTGTGTCTGGGTAGTAGTTCATGTCCCCCGGCTTCATGTCATCCCCATTTCGCCCTCTGGGCCTGGATGTCGTTGCGTAAGTTTTGAGCAAAACAAATTGCAAATATCTGAAACAGAAAAAGGACCAAGTGAATGAAGAGTGCCTTATTAACGAGAACATGTACCTTAATCACAAAACTAACCTTTTGTTTCCTTTTAACATTTATTCTATGATGTTTGTTATTAAGGAAGAGAATATATGGATGTCAACTTCTTTATTATGATGAACACAACGTTTCGGAGTATATGCTTACTCCTTCATCAGGTGAATGAATACCATGAGGCAGAGAGCATATATATGTACAGGTAAGAACAACAAAATTAACAAGCATGAAATACTCACATCCCCCGCCAATATGACATGTCGGATGTGTGCAATGCATTAGCTCCTGTGAACTATGTTCACTGGGCCTTTTTGTAAAGAAATATACTACGTTTTTCAAGATCTGCTCCAGAAACGAGGACTACCACCATTTTCAGTCTAAATCAAAGTCGTTGCCATGGAAACTCGAAAAAGAACTTTAAAAAAAAATCCAAAACTATCCAAAGGCACCAGTTCACCACTAGATCTATCTATGTGCCAAGTTTGGTGAAGAAATATGGTACGGTTTTCAAGATCTGCTCCGGAAACGAGGACTACCGCCATTTTCAGTCTAAATCAAAGTCGTTGCCATGGAAACTCGAAAAATAACTTTTAAAAAAAATCCCAAACTATCCAAAGGCACCAGTTCACCACTAGACCTATCTATGTGCAAAATAGGGTGAAAAAGGACTACTGCCATTTTCAGTCTAAATCAAAGCCATTGCCATGAAAACTCAAAAATTATTGTTTTTAAAAATCCCAAACTATCAAAAGGCACCAGTTACCACTAGATCTATCTATGTGCCAAGTTTGGTGAAGAAATATGGTACGGTTTTCAAGATCTGCTCCGGAAACGAGGACTACTGCCATTTTCAGTATAAAACAAAGTCATTGCCATGGAAACTCGAAAAATAATTTTTTTTAAAAATCCCATACTATCAAAAGGCACCAGTTCACCACTAGATCTATCTATGTGCCAAGTTTGGTGAAGAAATATGGTACAGTTTTCAAGATCTGCTCCGGAAACGAAATGTGACGGATGGAAGGATGGACGGACGGAAGGACGGCCTGACGGCACCCATTCCTATATCCCCCTTCCACTTCGTGGCGGGGGATAATAAGATAACAAAAGGTGGAAAATAACAAAGAGTACAAGCTAACAAAGGAGGCCAACAGATGATTGGCGCTGATAGGTGATTAGCAATAGACAATGGAAGCCAACACTTTAGTTCTCCTAGCTAAGTAATTGGTAAAGGACACTGGGCGGGGTAATTAGCACTGATAGGTGAAAGAATGGACATAGCAAGGGGGCAAATTGAAGCCAGCTAGGCTCAACACAAGACTCAAAGAACATCGGACCTCTGCTAACAAACACGACCTGAAATCCGCTATTTCCGAACACATCCTGAAGAAGAACAAGTATTTGTCACAGAAGTGACGAAATGTCCCCCGCCTGTATATACACCAAAATACCAAATATGAAGACAATCCTGCGATTAGTTCTTGAGATATCGCGGCAACACCGTTTTCAAACTCCAAAAGCAGATTTGCCTGCTGTGACCTTGAAAATAGGGTCAAGGTCACCAAAACCAACTGGTGTCTGCGGTGTCTGTATATACACCATAGTTCCAAATATTAAGACAATCCTGCGATTAGTTCTTGAGATATCGCGGCAACACCGTTTTCCAACTCCAAAAGCAGATTTACCTGCTGTGACCTTGAAAATGGGGTCAAGGTCACCAAAACCGACTGGTGTCTGCGAAGTCTGTATATACACCATAGTTCCAAATATGAAAACAATCCAGTGTTTAGTTCTTGAGATATCGCGGCAACTCTGTTTTCCAACTCCAAAAGCAGATTTGCCTGCTGTGACCTTGAAAATGGGGTCAAGGTCACCAAAACCGACTGGTGTATGCGGTGTCTGTATATACACCATAGTTCCAAACATGAAGACAATCCTGCGATTAGTTCTTGAGATATCGCGGCAACACCGTTTTCCAACTCCAAAAGCAGATTTGCCTGCTGTGACCTTGAAAATGGGGTCAAGGTCACCAAAACCGACTGGTGTCTGCGGTGTCTGTATATACACCATAGTTCCAAACATGAAGACAATCCTGCGATTAGTTCTTGAGATATCGCGGCAACACCGTTTTCCAACTCCAAAAGCAGATTTACCTGCTGTGACCTTGAAAATGGGGTCAAGGTCACCAAAACCGACTGGTGTCTGCGAAGTCTGTATATACACCATAGTTCCAAACATGAAGACAATCCTGCGATTAGTTCTTGAGATATCGCGGCAACACCGTTTTCAAACTCCAAAAGCAGATTTGCCTGCTGTGACCTTGAAAATGGGCTCAAGGTCACCAAAACCGACTGGTGTCTGCGGAGTCCGTATATACACCCTAGTACCAAATAGGAAGACAATCCAGACATTAGTTCTTGAGATATCGCGGCAACACCGTTTTCCAACTCCAAAAGCAGATTTGCCTGCTGTGACCTTGAAAATGGGGTCAAGGTCACCAAAACCGACTGGTGTCTGCGGAGTCTGTATATACACCATAGTTCCAAATATGAAGACAATCCAGTGTTTAGTTCTTGAGATATCGCGGCAACAAACAGGTGGGACGTACGGACGGACGTACGGACAGTCGTGAATACTATATCCCCCGCTTCGCGCTTTCGCGCGGCGGGGGACAATAACCATTACATCATGTGGGAAGCCACCAAAGTCCTGTCTACATGAAGCCATTGACATCAGGAGACACCAGCCAGCCATGAACCGTGACCAGGGAACCTGTCTGCCTAGTGCTTGGGACTTATTGCTTTAATCTTTGTCGGGGCTAATTGCCTAGCTGGCTTTATTCAATTTGCCCCTTGCTATGTCCATTCTTTCAGAAGTTGACATCCATATATTCTCTTCCTTATGTGTACATCACTTCTAAATGCCTTTCAAAGACATGTTTATTATTATCAATCTCGACAAGATGTGTTTGGATGCTATTTGCATTTGCTGATTGACATTATGGTAAATACGTTCACATTCTTAACATATTACCCAAACGCTGCAATGCTATGGCCAATTCACCAGACAATAAAAAAACAACACTACTGTGCACATCAATGTGTATTAACTGAAGTCCTGCAGCCTAGCTTTTCCTATCTCTCAGTTAGTCTATTTTGAAAACAGATCCCAGTTGTTTTCTGTGGCCTATGATATTGTGGCAAGTTCTCAAACTGAAATATCTTGTCTCCACACAAAGTATGAAGTTTTTTTAACATCTTTGTATACATTTATCAGTCTATTACACTATGTATCTACCTTTGGTAACCAATAAGAGAGCTATGTTACAGCAACCGTGTGTCGATCTGTGAGACAATTTACATCGGGTTACCTGAAGGAGGCTACACAGACAGTGACTGATTGTGTGTGTCTGTCTGTGAGACAATCTACATGTGGTTACCTGAAGGAGGGCGACGCTGACAGCAACTGATTGTTGTGTCTGTCTGTGAGACAATCTACATCGAGTTACCTGAAGGAGGGCGACGCTGACAGTGACTGATTGTGTGTGTCTGTGAGACAATCTACATCTGGTTACCTGAAGGAGAGCTACGCTGACAGCGACTCATTGTGTGTGTCTGCAGGTGAGACAATCTACATGTGGTTACCTGAAGGAGGGCGACGCTGACATTTACTGATTGTGTGTGTCTGTGAGACAATCTACATGTGGTTACCTGAAGGAGGGCGACGCTGACAGCAACTGATTGTGTGCGTCTGTCTGTGAGACAATCTACATGTGGTAACCTGAAGGAGGGCTACGCTGACAGCGACTGATTGTGTGTGTCTGTGTGTGAGACAATCTACATGGGGTTACCTGAAGGAGGGCTACGCTGACAGCGACTGATTGTGTGTGTCTGTGTGTCTGTGAGACAATCTACATGGGGTTACCTGAAGGAGGGCTACGCTGACAGCTACTGATTGTGTGTGTCTGTGTGTGAGACAATCTACATGGGGTTACCTGAAGGAGGGCTACGCTGACAGCTACTGATTGTGTGTGTCTGTGTGTCTGTGAGACAATCTACATCTGGTTACCTGAAGGAGGGCGACGCTGACAGCTACTGATTGTGTGTGTCTGTGTGTGAGACAATCTACATGGGGTTACCTGAAGGAGGGCTACGCTGACAGCTACTGATTGTGTGTGTCTGTGTGTCTGTGAGACAATCTACATCTGGTTACCTGAAGGAGGGCTACGCTGACAGCGACTGATTGTGTGTGTCTGTGTGTGAGACAATCTACATGGGGTTACCTGAAGGAGGGCTACGCTGACAGCTACTGATTGTGTGTGTCTGTGTGTGTCTGTGTGTGAGACAATCTACATCTGGTTACCTGAAGGAGGGCTACGCTGACGGCTACTGATTGTGTGTGTCTGTGTGTGTCTGTGTGTGAGACAATCTACATCTGGTTACCTGAAGGAGGGCTACGCTGACAGCGACTGATTGTGTGTGTCTGTGTGTCTGTGAGACAATCTACATGGGGTTACCTGAAGGAGGGCTACGCTGACAGCGACTGATTGTGTGTGTCTGTGTGTGAGACAATCTACATGGGGTTACCTGAAGGAGGGCTACGGTGACACCGTTTGATTGTGTGTGCGTGTATGTCTGTGTGTCTGTGAGACAATCTACATCACGTTACCTGAAGGAGGGCGACGCTGACACCGTTTGATTGTGTGTGCGTGTATGTCTGTGTGTCTGTGAGACAATCTACATCACGTTACCTGAAGGAGGGCGACGCTGACAGCGACTGCTGCTACTGGGATGAGGTTTGCCTCCAGCCACTTCTCCCCTGAAGGAAGACACCCTGTGGTGTAGATCTTGGTGCTGCGGTCAATATCCTGTACAGACAGGTCCAGTGTTAGTAATCAGAACATGGTTGCGTCAAGATTTACTACCAGGGATAAACACCATTACTAGTCTGTAAGTCAGAGAATAGTGAACATCTAGGCAGGCTAGTTGTTTTCTCCCAAGTCAGAAATGAGCTGAGGACCAGTTGGATATGACCATTGGTGTCTACCCCTGACTACTGTGCAACTGTTACAACAGCAAGTATATCAATAATCAATTCAAACCAGTGACTGATATATTTTCAAAGGAAATAAATTCTTGAAATATCTTTTAGGTACCTTTGACATGCTTAAAAGAACAAAACAAACTTAACTAGATTTAAGGACAAGGGGAAAACGCCACTGACTGCTTCCAACATTAATTAAACATCGGTAACTATTATCCAATGTTGTCATACCTTATTGAGCACTTCCTATGCCATGGTTAATTAAATACCAAGCACAACCTTGTGACCAAAAATACTGAATCCTTTACATAAATCAATGGATCAAAATAAAACCTGTAATTCTTACATGTGATGTTGACCTCATTCCATAGCCACAATGTCTGTTTTGTATAATATCCTGTAAAATCATGAAATGCACATCAATAATAATACAACATGATACATTATCACATGTGGGCTACCCAACTGCCCCTACTCATTCAGCCGTGTCAAGGCTGGGAGTTGGTCTTCTGCGCTGTCTCCAGCCTAGTATCGGTACAACCATTACTAACATCTGATCCCCAATTTCCAGTTCTTTCTCCAAGCATGGGGTACTGTGAATCTGTTCAATATTGGAATACCCATTGGGTCCACTTACAAAGATTAAGTGAGTAAGACCTTACACCACTTTCAGCAATATTCCAGCAATATCACAGCAGGGGACACCAGAAATGGACTTCACATATATTACTAATATGGGGAATCGAACACATGACTTGGGCATGATGAGTGAACACTTTAACCACAAGGCTAGCCCACTACACCGAGACAACGGTTTATCATCACAATTTCACAGTATGTTTTTGACAGAAACAGAGAAACAATCATTTAATGTCAGCTGTTTCATATCCTTACTACCAAGAATTCAAATTCATAATCTAGGCCACAACATATAAATCTTTGTTATTCAAAATGTCCTCATTTTTCTTTTTCAAAACATTTCTGGTTGCATTACTTTTGATAGTAATTTTCTGATGAGACAAAGGGGCGATGGGGGTAGCCTAGTTCTTAATGTGTTCGCTCATCCCGCCGAAGACCTGAGTTGGATTCCCCCACATTGGGTACAATGTGTGAAGTCCATTTCTGGTGTCTCTCGCCATGATATTGCTGGAATATTGCTAAAAGTGGCGTAAAACCATTCTTACTCACTCACTCTGATCAGACAAAGGTTACAATTCTGAATACCCCCAAACATAAAAACTAATCATATCTTATCATTGAAATCCAGTTCACGAGAGAAGAAACTATCAAAATTTTTCAGTCTTACAAAATACTGAATGTGATTAAAATGAGAGTGACATACATCCGTTGGTTTACAACATGAGAAAGGCACCCCGCAGGCCTCCACACCAGGGGAAGAACAGTTGAAGTACATGTTGTTGCCCCAGTCCTGGAAGGTGTGCACGCCACAGCAGAACAACTGAAACACAAATCACATACTGTTAGTTGTAAGGGAAATATTATTTTGTTTTTAAGAGACATTCTTTATTCCCAGAACACAAATTAAGTAAATTTCAATCCAAAACCCAAGATGAAAATGTGAGTTGAGATATAGATCTGTGTTCATGGTTACATGATAAGATCGTTGAGTTGCATGAGGCTTGAGAAGCAAGGTACTATTTCTTGCACAACTAGTTATATATAGTTGACAGCGAAGGGTACTTCTGTTGAAAATCTGAAGATTTTTTTATAGTTTTATCACAGCCGAAACACAGGATTTCTGGCACTGGTGTAATATAGGCATTTATTTGTAGGAATTATATAGATCTGCATTGATGGTTACATGCTGAGATCTCTGAGCAGCATTTAGAAGTTGGACAGGTAACTAAAGATAATATCAAGAACATGAAATCACTGGCAAACAAGTGAGACATGTTGTACTACTAATAGTGGAAACAGCATTATACTTCTACATAAATCAGGATGCTGTTATCATAGGTAAAGTGGACCAGTAGGTTTGTGCTGGGAAATGTGCATGTAACACACGTTATCTTCATTAGCTGTGTATCTATGCTGAAAGTGATGCCAAAAGCTAATGTGTCCTACAGACTTATATAAAGACTAACAAGTATAATTTCCCAGTTTGAGACGAAACTTTTCAGTCTACAAGAACATACTTGTCTTTTGGCATCATTTTCAGTAGATTTTAGTGTTAATATTTGAGCTATTAAAATTTATTGGAAAGACGTTATTTTGATTAACATGAAGAAACATAATATAATGAGAAAGTGAGAAGCCATGGTCTCCCAAGTGACTGTCATGAAGTTACCCAGTCATGCTGCACCCAGTCCACCAGGTTCTGGAGGTCAACGTCCTCACGGTAGTTGACAATCATGTTCTTCACCTGTGTCTCTATCTGCTCCCTCACCTGTAAACACACGGCACCAGTTTAAGTCACATACATCTCTCATATATCAGTAGCCATTTATCACAGGGAAGTCTTACACAAAGTCCAGAGTACACAACAATTTTAAGGGATAGCAGAAGAGATGCCAAACGTAAGTTAAAGCAGTAAGGTATTTCTTGCACAACTTGGGTCTAAATATAATACTTTTAAAACAGTAATTAGCATGATTGACTGTGTGGTGTTCATGAAAAAAATCATCTTACGCATTGCATTTTATCACCAAAAGTCTTCCAAATCTCTTCTGAACCTTCCCATAACAAGCTTAAACAGGTGATTATAATTGAAAATATATCAGTGACTATATATTTATGACAGAAAAGCATACTTAGTGTTTTTCATACTAAATTATAAATTCAAATAGTACTATCAAACCTATTCAAAATTGAAAACACACCAAAATCGTCATGGACCTTCTCCATTCAAAGTATTCACTGAAAGCACTTTTTTATCTAAGTGGGAATTGCAACCCATATTTTTTTTCACATACCATCATCTTAATGTACACAAAAAGATTTCTAAAAAAAAAAAGTAAAACCCACAATAACAGGAGTTCATGAAATCCAGAAATAATTTCAATGAAGCTGACAATTATTTATATTTGTGTCTGGTGAGTTGTGAAACAATCCCTCATATTCGTTTCAGAAATGTTAGTTCAGGTGATAATAGAAGCATATAATCCCACTACACCGGTAGTAAGAATGATCAGTGAACTGCTCCCCAGGAATCAGTCTGCTGTACTGGAATGTGGAGGTGTGTACTTACCCACGGTTTATAGACGAAGGCAAGGATCCCGACCGTGATTTCACACACAAATATAAAGCCCAAGCACACCATGAACTGGAAACAAGATGACACACAGTGAGAACACAAGACACAATCCTAATGATTGTACTTACCACTGCCTACTAAAGTACACATTGTTTATTTTAAATATATAACACAATCATAATAATTGTACATACTGATCTACCGAATGTGTTTATTCTTAACATATAACCCAATCATAATAATTGTACATACTGATCTACCGAATGCGTTTATATTCTTAACATATAACACAATCATAACAAGTATTTGTCACAGAGTGACGAAATATCCCCCGCCATATACACCATAGTACCAAATATGAAGACAATCCAGCGATTAGTTCTTGAGATATTGTGGCAACACCGTTTTCTAACTCCAAAAACAGATCTGCCTGCTGTGACCTTGAAAATGGGGTCAAGGTCACCAAATCTGACAGGTGTATGCGGTGTCTGTATATACACTATAGTTCCAAATATGAAGACAATCCAGCGATTAGTTCTTGAGATATCGCGGCAACACCGTTTTCTAACTCCAAAAGCAGATTTGCCTGCTGTGACCTTGAAAATGGGGTCAAGGTCACCAAAACCGACTGGTGTCTGCGGTGTCTGTATATACACCATAGTTCCAAATATGAAGACAATCGAGAGGTTTAGTTCTTGAGATATCGCGGCAACACCGTTTTCCAACTCTAAAAGCAGATTTGCCTGCTGTGACCTTGAAAATGGGATCAAGGTCACCAAAACCGACTGGTGTCTGCGGAGTCTGTATATACATTATAGTTCCAAATATGAAGACAATCCAGTGTTTAGTTCTTGAGATATCGCGGCAACACCGTTTTCCAACTCTAAAAGCAGATTTGCCTGCTGTGACCTTGAAAATGGGGTCAAGGTCACCAAAACCGACTGGTGTCTGCGGTGTCTGTATATACACCATAGTTCCAAATATGAAGACAATCCAGTGTTTAGTTCTTGAGATATCGCGGCAACACCGTTTTCCAACTCTAAAAGCAGATTTGTCTGCTGTGACCTTGAAAATGGGATCAAGGTCACCAAAACCGACTGGTGTCTGCGGGGTGTGTATATACACCATAGTTCCAAATATGAAGACAATCCAGTGTTTAGTTCTTGAGATATCGCGGCAACACCGTTTTCCAACTCTAAAAGCAGATTTGTCTGCTGTGACCTTGAAAATGGGATCAAGGTCACCAAAACCGACTGGTGTCTGCGGAGTCTGTATATACACCATAGTTCCAAATATGAAGACAATCCAGTGTTTAGTTCTTGAGATATCGCGGCAACAAACAGGTGGGACGTACGGACGGACGTACGGACGGTCGTGAATACTATATCCCCCGCTTCGCGCTTTCGCGCGGCGGGGGATAACAAGGGCAAAAGTGAGCGTGGCTCACTAATACCCCGACCCGCCTAGTGTGTCAGTAGTTTCAAATTAAATAGCTAGGATAGGGTTAGGGTTTGAAAAATTCATTAAAAAATGGAAAATTAATAAAAACAATTTTTTTTCTTTTGACTGCACCCCTCCATATGACACAGATTATATGTACTAAGTTTGAGATGAATCCATTGAATAGCTTAAGAGAAATCGCGCAGACAAAGTTTTCGGATGGACGGACGGACAGATGGACAGGCGGATGGACGGACAGAACCTTGGTATAACTATATACCCCCGACATACTGATCTACAGAATGCGTTTATTCTTAACAAAAGATACAACAATAATAATTGTACAAATTGATCTACAGATTTGTATTCTTGAAAACAATCATTCACACAAAAAGCTTTTTCCTGATCAAGACAAATCCAATTGTGTGAAAACACAATAACCAGTGTTAAAAGGAATTATCTAACATCTCCCGGGGATGTAGCTATCAATCAGAAATCTATGACCTTTAAACATGTTAAACAACTTCTCAAATAAGCTCCACATAGTCCAGATGTCTCCTTGGACATTGGCTATAACACAAATGGACAAGGAGCAAACATCTCCCTCAGCTGTACAGAGTTCGCGCAGATTTGCCCATCAAACATAGTAAGCCTGCTTGAGCCATTTTGGACAGTAGATTCTCCCTTGCTGTTTGTGTCCGGTATAGCAGTGGGGGTTTGACAAAGTAAAGCATGGAGTGTAAGCCAAAGGTCATATGAGGCAAAGCACACGAGCGGGAGACGTGAGGTGCTTACAACTGCCTACAATCTCAGGAAGTGCTAACATTCACCACAGGCACATCCATGCTTGTTTGTCTTGTAAATAACACCTTATGCCTTGATACTCTGCTTGATGAAAACGCCAATAGGAAGCAAAATTCTGTTTGGGAACATAACATGTTCTCAATAAAGGAACCTCTTGGGTCTTGAACTATGAGGTTGTCGTCTACCTCAGTATATTTTCTGCTGTCCTAGTTTACCAATTAAACTATAACAGCTATTGATGATGACGAAGTATGTTGCACGATCAGATTGTTGAATGAAAACTTGCTGGCACAGAGCTGATGTGATTTATGAGCCATGTGGAGTTGGCATGTTAAACAGGTTCAAATGTTAAATATGTACAAGGAAAAACACAACCACAGTGTTAAAGCTGGTAGAGATCCGTGCCCTCAAGTACAGCCCAATATTTTACTGTGTACACAATACTATCATGAAACGATACATATTACTTTGAAAACTTAATCAATATCTGATTTAGAACCAAAGATACTGAAGTTAAACATCTTAATTTATTTTCTGAAATTGAGCAAGCTCATTAAGGTGTAGTGGTATCAGCTATCAGACAAAATGTGAGAATTGCACAAATATTGACACATTCCACAAAATCGTCAATATTTGGGCAAATTTGGTCAAGAACTCAATTCCAGCCTTGATTTCAATGAAGCACACAATTCCAGCTTGACCAGTATCTCTATCTCCCTGGTGCACTGGATGCATGGGTGGCCAAGTCGTCGAAGGCGCTGCAATTTGCTGTGCAGAGTTGGCTCCTTATGCACACCAGGAACTGATGATTGTGGGTTCGAATCCCGGTTGGCCCCGATTATTTTTCTGGGTTTGTCAGCACTATACCCATGCTTGTTGGTTTCACCAAGTGGTATACGCCTGAGACCTACATCACTTGAAGCTTTGCTCCCACATTACGCCGACATGCCGTGATATAACTGTAATACTGTTAAAAGCAGCATTAAACCCAATTCACTCACTCCCTGGTGTACTCACAGTGCAGAGTAGGCAGGTATTCTCCCTGAGAGCGCCGATACAACCGCAGAAACTGATGGAGGTCATGATGAGGCCCACGATGATGAAGATCAACGCTGGCTCCACGGTCAGGTTCGTCAGCTTCCCGATGTTCTGGAACATGTCCTTCTCGGCCCATGCCCATATTCCAATTCCACAAACTGCACCACCGATAAGCTGCAATGGAGGAAGTTGTCAGTACATAGAGTTGACTTATACAGTTTTACCTTGGCCCTCAATAATTAATTACAGGGGTTTCATACAGCGAATATGAGGCTCCTGTAAAAGTAATGAAATATTGTTGTGTACTGTACTGTAAGATTTAATCATTTTTTTTAATTACCGGACCTTTATATAAATTGTCAAGAATAAGTTACAATGAATAATATTGTGCCTCCCTTGTGCTCAGCACTACATCCTCAGATCATTCAGGTAGTCATGATTCCACAGTACTTGATTGCATATCTCCCTATATGACACTGTCATGGCTATGGCATATCAACATGACATTGTCCTGGGCATGGCATATCTACATGACATTGTCCTGGGCATGGCATATCTACGTGACATTGTCTTGGGCATGGCATATCAACATGACATTGTCCTGGGCATGGCATATCTACATGTCATTGTCTTGGACATGACAATTCTACATGACATTGACCTGGGCATGGCATATCTGCAACATTGACCTGGGCATGGCATATCTACATGGCATTGACCTGGGCATGGTATATCTGTAACACTGACCTGGGTATGGCATATCTGCAACATTGACCTGGGCATGGCATATCTACACGACATTGAACTGGGCATGGTATATGTACATGACACTGACCTGGCATATCCACATGACATTGTCATGGACAACGAATTGTTTGATAGGCATTACTTAGAAGTTGACGAATAAGTAAGTTGACACAATTTACGGATAAAAATTTCATTAATTACTGTAAAGACGACATTTCAGAATAGTTCCTTATATTATATTTTATAACCTAGATTTTACCATTATTTCTCAAAAAGCCTACTGACGCTTAAGTACTAGAAACTACTAGTTCTATTCTACAACTATAACTCCTGCAGTGACACAGATGTCAAATCAGCTGTTTCAGTCAGAGGTGGTTACTGAGATTTGAAACCTGAGATTGACAATACGAAATGAGTATTTTCCATTGTTCTGAGTTCTACACATTTCACATTGAATTTTGCATCACTGTGTTACTATCTGTGTCAATCTGCCCTCACAGACAGGATCATGACATATCACGACAAGACCAGAAGCTTAACAATGCTGTGTTATTGCTTCAATAAGCTGACTATTGTTGTCCCTGCCATGGTAACCAGTGACCTAGTCAGTACTGACTTCCTTCACTGATCACATCAACAACCCATTACTATTCTCTGGACCAATCAATCCAACATGACACAGGAACATCCATCTGTCATAGGTACAAGTGTCCATAACAATGTTGGGAATCGCTGTGGCAATAACTGTTCTCTCCCTCTCAGTCTCTGAAAACAAATGTATCTTCTTGTGTATGGTTTTAATAAGCGACCATTGACCAGATACAGAAATACTGTCAGCTGACCATCTTGACAAACCTTGGTGACGGCGGGTGCTAACTATCACATATCACAACAACATATTTCCTTGAGCCGAATGAAATGTTGAATACAATAAGTTTGGGAATCAGTTGATCAATGAATGAATTGGCATTAATGGTTTTATTTCATTTGAACAATTGTTAATTAAAACTTTTTACTTGCATGGTGTGAATTAACCAGTCATAATCTGTACCAGCTTTTATCACTGTTTCACAAACTGAGATCCTATTCTTTAAATTGTGTTGCTGGTTCACATATTAACCAGAGGAACTTACAACCCAGTAGGAAAAAGAGGTCAAAATAACTTTTCTTATTTATTCCAAAAGGATTAAAACAAAATTTCCAACCATGTTTATATTATTTGCAAAATCTGCCTGAAAATAAGACCATGTGCTATAATTTTGCATCTAGCATATCTAACCATTTCCAAGTACACGAAATAATCCAAAACAACTTGAATGTGGTTCTCTGTTTATATAAATCCTATGTTCCCTAAGGGCTATGTAATACGAACAACAAGACTCGCTGTTACATAAAGTTTGCTTCAAGATGAAATATTTCACACCCTCAAGGTCAATTTGTTTAGCAAATGCCTGTGTTTGGCTCATCCTCAAATGTTCTCAAAGTGCAAATCCCACGACTATCATTTTCTGCTTACATGTCAACCAAATTCATAAACAACTGTGACATTTGAAGAAAGGTGAAAAAAGGAACAGAATGAACAACCATAATCAAGAACTTCTAAACTTTGTGTATTATGTGAAGACCAATATCTTCATTGGAGTGTGATAGGACAATACAAGGACCAGGGTCCATCTTGGACAATAGTCTGTGAGCCTAAATCGTCTTTGTGCCAGTATACATGGGGTTCTGATCAGGGCAAGGTGATTTCTATAAACAGTTAGAAGATTATATTTATTTTTTGCTTTGTGAGATACAACTTTACAGACAAACCACCATCATCATTCATCTATGAATATCAGTGATCAGGGTGTGGAAGATTTGTATGAAAATAATTAGGGCTGAACAAAAGATCGATAATCGGAATTATCGTCAATGAGAAGAAACATTAACAATTATCAATATGAAAATCTTGTCATCGATAAACATCTTACACAAACAAATGTGATGAAATAAAGTTTTAATTTACCCAAACAGACTTGTTATTGTCAATCATGGCAATTGCCCAAGACGGACAGCAACTGTTTTTATTATAAATTAAATGTTCACAAAGTAATTCATGCATAAATGTGTCACCACTTACCAGTGGCATGATTTCTTTCGGACTTGTTTGTATATTTCCTCAAAGTTACTTCTCCGATATTTATCGATAATTGATCGATATTTAGTTACCGATTATCGATCTCTATGATGAGTATCAAAAGTCAGCCCTTGAAATAATAACCATGATAACCATCATGTACAATGTTTTGAAGCTGGTAAATCAATTAGAATCACAAACTCAAATATAATACTATAAGTGTCTGGTAGCTGTAAGAAAGATTAACAGTGCTTCGATATGTGCGTGATTGACACCACAAGACCATGAAGTCTTAGTTATACTGAAAGAGAGCTCACTATAAGCATAAGAAGCAATTGAAACTATCTCTGATACTTAAAGGTTGTGTGTTGATTCATAACTTTCAAAGTATACAAAGCACAGAATAACCGACTTTGTATGTAGCCCAGGAGCCCCGACATGCTTTTTGTTGTGCTGACATTCTCATTGCTATGAGCTGCTAAAAAGTTCATTCTTACTCTTACCAGGGGCATCAGAAATTAACTGAAAAAGATCATTATCAGCGAGAGTGAGTGAGTGAGTTGGGTTTAACGCCGCTTTTAACAGTATTCCAGTTATATCACGGCATGTCAGCTTAATGTGAGAGGAAAGCCCGAAGTGATGCAAGTCTCAGACGTTTACCACTTTGCTGAAACCCACGGGCACGGGTATGGTGATAACAAACCAAGAAACATAATCGGGGCGAACCGGGATTCGAACCCACAACCATAGGTTTCTGGCGTGCCCAAGGGACGCAACACTGCACAGCGAATCGCGGCGCCTTAGGCGACTGGGCCACCCGTGCCCCTTTATCAGCGAGATCAGCAAATATATCCCCACACCACATGCTCTCAAAACTCACCTATTTTCAAGCCCTTAAACAATATGTAACCACGTTCTTAATGAAGTCATCACGGTAGACGGTTCAAAGCCCACTGAAGACATGCTGCTGAAGTCATGTCACGAACTAAGCTACATGAGCTAAGATATTCAATAAGTTATGAAAACATACCTCAAAACTTACTTTTTCACTCATTCACATTCTAATGAAACTTTATCAAATGATAAATTTGCTTCAGAACAATCGTATGCACTAATAACGTATCGACTGCTGTGCATCTATTTTCAACTGGACAGTATTGGAGGGGTTTCAAGTCATGGGACCTTAACACATGACTTGTCTCACTTGGTGTGGCATTATCACTATAAAAATAACAAGAAATGGTTCTTTGACCATCTAAGTGCTAACAGAAATAAGTGTTCTCAAACGTAAGACCTTATTTTAGTGTACTGGGACTGTTATAAGACACATAATCAGGAATACCTCTTTGGGGCTCGAAAAAACCCATAACATGAGGATAATGCAATATCGTGGAATTGCACTCCAAAGTGATTCCTGATGAACTAACTGCCTGGGTACCGATGTACACAATCTTAGCACTACGTAAGTCTCTGTTGAGGTATGGGAGTTATGAAAAACAACCTTAGCGCTAAGATCGCTTCATACAACGGCACCCTGATGGACATCAATGGGATTATACCACAGCAGGATGTCAGCTAAAGGGTCATGTTCCACATCTAGATGCCCATTTTTTGTATAGTTCCGGATAGTATAATTCATGTTATGGGAGTCATCATCTCTGTGCAGTTAGGATATTAATTAACTTTGTTTGTTTGTTTGTTGTTTAACACCGCAGTCAGGAATATTCCAGTTATATGACGGTTGTCTATAAATAATAGAGTCTGGACCAGACAATCCAGTGATTGACATCATGAGCATCGATCCACGCAATTGTGATAAGACGACATGCATCAACCAAGTCAGCGAGCCTGGCCACCCGATCCCATTAGTTGCCTCTAACGACAACCATCGTTGTCTCTTACGGCAAGCATGTGTTGCTGAAGACCTATTCTCTACCCGGATCTTCATGGGGAATTAATTAACTGCTGAATTTATATACATCATAGGCGTGTGAACTAGAAGGCAAAAGTGGTGAAGGACAAAAATCAAACTGACTGCCAATTTCCCCAAGCATAGTCCTCCTTTAAGATGCTCCAAAATAGTTTGGCCGATATAGTATTTTGACATACACATTCCTCAGCTCACAAACGTATATGTGTCAAATTTTTTGTGCAACACAACCCAATAGTTCAAGTGGTAGTTACAAACACAAATCTGATCATCTAATGTGGATGTAACGTCTGAGGGTTCAACATGAAAATGTTTCTATGGTAACAATCAGTAAGGTCTATAATCACATTGTTAGTCATCTACTACATAATCTGACAC